ATTTCTTGCACTTTCATTTGTTAAATCAACCGGAAAATGTCTTAGCAGTGATACACTTCTCAAGAGATCAAACAACAAATTTCTAAGGTATTTTTATTTTATTATTTTGTTTTTTTGCGGTACGCGGGCCTCTTACTGTTGTGGCCTCTCCCGTTGCGGAGCACAGGCTCCGGACGTGCAGGCTCAGCGGCCATGGCTCACGGGCCCAGCCACTCCGCGGCATGTGGGATCCTCCCGGACCGGGGCACGAACCCGTGTCCCCTGCATCGGCAGGCGGACTCTCAAACACTGCGCCACCAGGGAAGCCCTCTAAGATTTTTTTAAAAGGTGATCAGTTTAAAAGTGATGAGCTTATTCTAAACCTGATGATACATCTGCTGTATATGTAATATCTGCAAAATGCAACCTGTCTATCCTACTGGGTACCAAGGAGGCAAATTGTAGAATTTCTTTTCTGAGATACATGCACCCCTATGTTCATAGCAGCACTATTTACAATAGCCAAGACATGGAAACAACCTAAATGTCCTTCAGCAGAGGAATGGATAAAGAAGATGTGGTACATATTTTCAATAGACTTACTCAGCCATAAAGAAAGAATGAAATAATGCCATTTGCAGCAACATGGATGAACCTAGCGATTATCATACTAAGCGAAGTAAGTCAGAAAGAGAGACAAACACTTATACGTGGAATCTAAAATACAACACAAGTGAACATACCTATGAAACAGAAACAGACTCACAGACATAGAGAACAGACTTGTGGTTGCCAAGGGGGAGGGAAGGTTTGGGAGTTTGGGATTAGCAGATGCGAACTATTATATACAGGATGGATAGACAACAAAGTCCTACTGTAGAGCACAGGGAACTATATTCAATATCCTGTGATAAGCCATAATGGAAAACAATATGAAAAAGAATATATACATATAACTGAGTCACTTTGCTGTACAGCAGAAATTAACACAACACTGTAAATCAACTATACTTCAATAAAATTTTTTTAAAAAATTTCTTTTCTGCCTGGCAAAATCAGCACTGCTCCATTCTGCTATATTTCCCCATAAAAGAAGTTCAGCTTTATGTCTAATAACAATAATACAAACACAAATAGTTGTTAAGAAAGGTTCTGTGTTCCGTTTTCATCATAAATCCCTTGCATAATGAGCTACTGACCTATTGCGCCCCTCCATAGAGAATGTTGATCCTATTGCTGAAATCTTATGAGAAACACTAAAGGAACAGAAATTATAACAAATTTGAAAGAGAAAGGAGAAAGTTTCTAATTCTGAATATGGTGAAAAAAAAGGCAGATAAATTAAAGATCATAATTCACTTTTTAAAATGACTAAAATAATCATGGATTGCACACATATATAGTTAGAAGGATACTTACTGCAGAGTTGCTTAAAATAGTGAAAACTGGAAACAAACTAACTGTCCAACGATAAGGGATTGGTTAAGTTGAGATGCAGCCATTCAGTAGAAAACTATAAAAGACGCTGTTTAAGCATACTTTAGTGATACAGAGGCATCCATATTTGGGTGAAAAAAAAAAAAGTTAGAAAACAGCACGTAGAGAACAAACCCGGTTTTGTAGAGAATAATTTTCTAGCTGTGTAACTTCAGGAAATTTCCTTAATTTCCTTAAAGCAGTTTTTTTCCTCCATAATTGTACCTACCTCATAGGTTAGAGTGAGGATAACATGAGATTCTCTGTATAAAGTAACTGGCATATAGCACTTACCACAGTAAGTGCTATACATGTTAGCTCTCGATGTTGTATGTTCATAGCGGTGAGAAAGCATTTGAGGATATAACACTAAGTAATTTTCTGGGTGGCGGCTGATTTGTTTACCTTGTACTTTTAAACCTCTACAAGTAAGAAACTGAAATATTAAACTATTCACATACAGTGATTATTCTCTTAAAAATCTACGACGGTGCTTTCTTTGCTCACAGTAAATAAATCTTGGCTGAACTGATTTTACCCTTCAGATTTCATTTAAACAAGTTGGCTCTGATACGGTTAAAATTATTTGACTTGGGACTTCGCAGGCAGTCCAGTGGTTAAGGCTTCACCTTCCAATGCAGGGGGTGCAGGTTTGATCCCTGGTAGGGGAGCTAAGATCCCACATGCCTCTTAGCCAAAAAACCAAAACATAAAACAGAAGCAATATTGTAACAAAATTCAATAAAGACTTTTAAAAAATGGTCACATAAAAAAAAAAAAGGACTTCCCTGGTGGCACAGTAGTTAAGAATCCGCCTGCCGATGCAGGGGACACAGGTTCAAGCCCTTGTCTGGGAAGATCCCACATGCCGCGGAGCAACTAAGCCTGTGAGCCACAACTACCAAAGCCCACGTGCTTAGAGCCCGTGCTCCACAACAAGAGAAGCTACCACAGTGGGAAGCCCACGTACCACAACGAAGAGTAGCCCCCGTTCGCCACAACTAGAGAAACCCTGCACGCAGCAATGAAGACCCAACACAGCCAAAAATTAAAATAAAATAAATTTATTTTAAAAATACTTGACTTGGGCTTCCCTGGTGGCGCAGTGGTTGAGAGTCCGCCTGTCGATGCAGGGGACACGGGTTTGTGCCCCGGTCCGGGAAGATCACACATGCCACAGAGCGGCTAGGCCCGTGAGCCATGGCCGCTGAGCCTGCGCGTCTGGAGCCTGTGCTCCGCAACAGGAGAGGCCACAACAGTGAGAGGCCCGCGTACCGCAAAAAAAAAACTTGACTCAAGGGCTAAATTTGTCTATATAATACTGTTACTGGGTAAAGCAAGGCATACATGCATGGTTCAGGCATACGTGCATGGTTCAGCCTCAAAACTTATGAGACCCAGTTCACTAGAAAGCCAGTAGATCTCAAATTATCAGTGGGAGGCAGCCTATCATAGCCTAATCATTTCTGGTTTCCTCCCAAGTCCCTTCCTCTCTCCTTCTTTTTGACTCTTTTCCTCTCCATAATCAAAGCCTAGGGGCTCTTTCTACCAGTCTTTAAGCCAGTTACAGTGCCTCCTTCATGTTAGCATTGCTAGTACCTAGCATAGTGGCTGGAATATAGTAGCTGCTCACTAAACATTCACCAACTGAATAGATATCTGATAGTAGTAGTTCACAATGGAAGCTTCAAATCCCTCATAAGGGAATTAGGTAAAGGTGGATAGGCTACTCTTATCTGAAACTATCTAGAATTCTCGGTAATTCTTCCTTAAGAAAAGAAAACAAACAACATCTCACTTCAACGTATCACTTTTTTAAAAGTTCTCATTTGTATTCCATTGTCTATTTTAATAGATGTAAGATTATTTCTATGTTTTTCCCTATATTTTGTTTAAAGTCCCACAAGAATTCCAGAGAGTTTAATTGCTCAGAGAAACACAGCCAGTAAGTTACCACCCGGATAGCCTTAGGTCTTCTGGATTCTGATGCCCAAGATCTCTGCATCACACTGTGGAAAAAAACATTCCCTGTAACCTTTGACCCTAAAAGTTGTTGCAGATATAAGGTAAGAACAAATGTTTTCAGTAACACCTGAGCAAATGCTCCCTATCCCTCCAACTGTCTCCTAGGGGTTTTTATAAGATTCCGTGAAAACCCAAAGGTGTCCAAGTGTTTCCCTCCACGTTCAAAAGTCAACCAGCTTTACTGAAAAATGAAACTAGAGAAACCAAATTAAACATTAACTCGTTAAAAAAACACTTCAACCAGAAGACTACTGTGAAGTAAGGCCAGCAGCAAACCAAGGAAAGGGCTACAATTTTGTCCTGCGTATTTTTTTAAAAGGCAAAAAAACAAGTTAAGGGTAAAGTTAGAGAGTTATCCACACATCCTTTCTTCCTCCAAATTCCATTTGTCACTTTCAGCCACTGCTCTGACTCTGTTTAGTGAATGGCAGTTCCCCTGGTATGGGGTGGGAACCTGAACTCTTTCAGGTATCCACACAGAAGCGTTGAACTTACTTCACACTCTGAGGAACTTGCCAAAGGATTTCACACCCTAAACCTCAACCCACCAGGTTTATAAGTAGGAAATTCTGTGGAAATTAATTGGTGATTATCTAAGCCAGCTGGAACACACTATTTATATATAAACAGTTAAAATTTGTTGAGGTCTGCTTTGTGCCAGACATTATGATAGGTCTTCTAAGGTTTAACTCTCATTATTATCCTCTGAAGTTGTTACAGTCCCATTTTACTAGTTCAGAGTGTTTAATGCGACTGAGAACCCACCATTAACAGATGTGACTAGGACTGAAACCAAGGATTTGGAAAGTTAAGTTCAAAATCCACGCCCACCTAGAGGCACTAAACAACTGAATCTCTTCAAAAATTTAACATACATGTCAAAACGATCCTAAGGTCGTATTAGAGCAAGCAAGATGAAATAGAAGAATGGCAGAGACTGATATATAAAAATTACAGGACATAACGTTTGAGTTGTTTCAAGACGTAGCCACGGGCTATTAACCATCCATACCTCAGAGAAGTAGACGGGTCCAGTCGCACCTATCTGCGCCGAAACACCAAGCCTCCCTTTCCTTAAGGGTAGTAGCTTTGGAATGCCAAACGTGTAAACGTTTCAGCGTGGGCAGCCCAGAGCTGGGTTCTTACCGTTCACACATCATCAGTAAGTGCCTCTCAAAAAAGCTTAAAGACAGTCCCTCCTCCACCTCCTTTGAACTAAAGTCCTGACCTCCAGAGTGGCTCAGGACAATCTATGGTTCAGTCTGTGTCCTTTCAACGTCAGGACCGAGTGACCCGCAATGGTTGCAAATGAATGAGATGAATGCTCAGAACGTGGAGACGAAGCCACACGTCCATCCTCTCTATCAGGCAAAATCAGGGAAGGATGCCTTGGGGCGGGGCGCGTGGGAGCCGAATTAGAGCCACGTCCGCGTTCGCAGTCCACCATGCCCTCCCCGCGCTGCGCCCGCCGCACGGCTTTCCAGCCCATCCTCCTCCCCGGCCCCTCCGGCGCTCCTTACCCGCTCTCACCTGGGGCTCCAGACCTTCCCGGCCGGACGCACCAGCTCCCGGGCCCGGGATCTGCTAGCGGACGGAGCCCGCTGCCGCAGCCGCAGCCGCCCCCGCCCCCGGCCGAAGCCGCTGTAAAGTTTGCTCGGGGTCTCGCCCTCTCCTGCCTCGGCCCTGCCAGGGAAGCACCTCCCGGGTCGCTCCCGCGGCTGCCGCTTCCGAGGCCGCTCTCGGCGGCGCTGCAGCACCGGCCGGGCTCTGGCTGCCGAGGACGGCTCCTTGCGCGCGGAGGGCGGGGTCTCCCCGCTCAGCCCGCGCCGCGGCGCTCGGTGTTTACCGCGGCCCCGCGGCCCGCTCTCCCCGCCCGCCGCCCTGCGCGCTCCTGACATCATTCATTCTCTCACACCCTTGCCCGCCCACTCCGTTTCCAAACAGTGACTCACCCGGCGGCGCCCGCTCCCGCTGCTGTGGCTCTCCAGGCGCAGAGCGGAGCTCGAAAAACCGGTGCGACTTCTTGAGAAGTGAACCCTCAGCCGCGGCTCTCTGCTCCCAGCCGTTAAAGGTGCAGGGAAGGAGGGGCTTGGCAGGCGGGGCAGATTGGCTCAGCGGGGAAAGGCTGGAGCGGACCTCCCTGAACGGTGACAGAGAACAATCTGGGAAAGTTCTTACGGTGCCACTCCCTGCAACTTTCAAGGGTGGGGCCGGGAAGAGATCCCCCCACCCCCGCACGTTGCCTTTCTCGGAAACGGCTTCCTGACGTCGGTGTGAGTGGGCTTGGGGCACCAGCGGTTATTCACTGGGTATTGCCTTGGCCTGGGTCAAAGAGTGGGTTTCCAGACCTCAAAGGATTGCCGGGCAGGATTAGTCATGGGTCCGCACGATGGTAACTCTAGGTGAGAGCTGGAAGGGTTCACCAAGTTAATGAGGCTACTAATACTTTCCCTTAGGTGACTAACCACCATGTCATATGTCCTGTTAATTGATTTGCTTCTCATTAAGGATAGAAAACAGAAACCAAAATGAACAGTGAGAGAGTAGTTCTTTGCTCAGCGGAACACTGTGCTTTTCCGCAGCTTTTCGAGAGCACAAGACGGCGGTGTGAGATTTCTCTGATGAGCTCAGCAGTTATGTTTTTAGAAGGGGTGTTGCCTTCTTTAAAATGGTCAAGGCTCTACACTTTTTGGAGTTGCTATTCATACACCTGCTGGGCAGTTTTCAAAGTAAACGATGGCTGCCTCGGATTCTAACTAGGATGAATCAGAGGGAATTTGGTCAAATTCTTATTGAATTTAACTGACAGATATGTTTTATGTTAATTTCTACTTTCGGACAGGGTAATTATGCTTAGGATTTGCACTGGCTTATGGGTGATTACATATAGTCAACAAAAATAATCAAGAGACATGTCTGGGTGCTCAGTGCAGAAATCATGGAGGTAAACAATCATCTGTTTATGATAATTCAACAGGATGGTAACAGAAAAACAAACCAACAAAAAAAACCTTGCAGGACAGTCCCAAAACAGACAACTGTATGATGTCACTATAGGAGTTTCCCTGATATGAAAACACTCCTGAGTTAACCAGAGGTTCAACATCATTGTTGTGGAAAATGTACATCAAGGTACAGAAAGGTAACAACCCAGAACACCAACAATTGACATTTATTTCACTTGGGTTTATGTTTCCTTTTCAATAGGAGTTCGTTTTTTACAAAACCCAGGCATTTTGCCCAGAAGGCACTAGCAAATGGATTGGTTTGCTAGGATGTAAAGTAAATAGAAATTCAAACCAACAGTTTTTATAGACCATCACAGATGTAATCAGAGGCTTGGGCGTCCTGTCCGCTGGTAACACAGAAGGACTAGATTCAAATGTGTAGCCACAGGAAAGTCTGAGTGAATATCCCACCTACTCCCTACTTTATGACCCATTATGGAGATATGTTTAAGTAAGATTTTCTACAGATCTCAGAAAATGATAGTGGGCTTTGGGGTCTATGTACATGGGTGAAGTCAAGAAGCTCAAAAGAAGGCCTCCCATCCTATGTGTCTTATTGCAGATGTAAATCCTGCAGCTCTATCATACAAAGGTCTCCGTCTGTATGAGAGGCTGTTTAATGGGTAGTTTTAAATTTGCAGTTACTATTATGTCTCAGTTTAAATATTGTGAAATAAATAATTACGTGATTTTATTATACCACTTAAATATACCCCAGTAAATGTAATATTGAATAATATAATAGTGATTGAGTTCCATGAAGTTTTTCCATCCTACTCATTATCAACATATGAGAAAGCAAATTATTCATCTTAATTTCCATGTTTTGAAAAACACTGATTGATTGTCTCACAGAAAGAGGTGATTTTTTTTTCAACTGAACTTTTTGCTCATACAACATATCAAAGTTTACTAAGTCCCTGATTAATCACCTTCCGAAAATAATAATGCTGAATGTTCTAAAGGAGAGATAGGGCTGACAGTTGTGTTCCTGTCAATTTTTTTTCTAAACCAGTACATGCTGTAAAGCGAGTTTTACAGATATTTCTTTGGTATGATACAACATACTGGTTAAGTTAGGAAAACATACATATCTGTAGTACTTACCTGCTCTTATAATAACTCCTACTCTAGATGTACCTAAGTCATTGACTCAAGCAACAAATGTTTATTGAGTTCCCACTTTGTGCCCACATTGTTTGTCTAAGAATCACCATGTGCATCTTCTAAACATATGTCTCAGCAATGGGAATGTTTGCTTTTTTAGAAAAATTACCTGAGGATGTTTATAATTATTTATAATTTCCCCAGGGTCCAGTGCCTGGCATGTAATTATTCAGTGAGTGAAATAAATGAATGAACAAGCCTCAAAGAACAAACTAATAGTGAAGTAATCCCATGTTATGAGATACTATATAGGCAATGGAAAAAAAAAAAGAATAAGATAGTTCCATAGGCTCTTAGAAAACTCTGTGTTAAGTGAAAAATATGAGTTGATGAGAAATATATTCACACACTCAATTTTTATGAATCAAACATAACTTCCGGGACTTCCCTGGTGGCACAGTGGTTAAGAATCCTTCTGCCAATGCAGGGGACACGGGTTCGATCCCTGAACCAGGAAGATCCCACATGCCACGGAGCAACTAAGACCGTGCGCCACAAGTACTGAGCCCACGTGCCACAACTATTGAAGCCTGCACACCTAGAGCCCGAGCTCTGCAACAAGAGAAGCCACCGCAATGAGAAACCTGTGCACCGCAACAAAGAGTAGCCCCCACTTGCCACAACTAGAGAAAACCCACACACAGCAACGAAGACCCAATGCAGCCAAAAATAAATAAAATTTAAAAAGCAAAAACAAAAACCCCATAACTTCCCAGGGCTTCCCTTGTGGCGCAGTGGTTAAGAATCCGCCTGCCAATGCAGGGGAGGTGGGTTCAAGCCCTGGTCCAGGAAGATTCCAGGTGCTGTGGAGCAACTAAGCCCATGCACCACAACTACTGAGCCTGTGCTCTAGAGCCCGTGAGCCACAACTACTGAAGCCTGCGCGCCTAAAGCCCATGCTCCGCAACAAGAAAAGCCACCACAATGAGAAGCCCGCACACTGCAACGAAGAGCAGCCCCCTCTGGCCGCAACTAGAAGAAAGCCCGCACGTAGCAACTAAGACCCAAGGTAGCCAAAAAGAAAACATTTTTAAAAAAAGGAGGAAGACAGGTTTAAAAAAAAAAACAAAACTTCCCCCCAAAAAATCCAGAATCAAACTATATATTACCTCTTGCAATGAGATACAGTCAGCCCTCTGTATCTGCAGGTTCTGTAGCCTCTGATTCAACCAAGATCGAAAATATTCAGAAAAAGATTCCAGGAAATTCCAAAAAGCAAAACTTTAATTTGAGTGCCAGCAATTATTTAGATAGCATTTACATTGTATTAGATGTTGTAAGTAATCTAAAGACGATTTAAAGTATATAGGAGGGTGTGCATAGGTTATATGCAAAATCTTTGCCATTTAATATAAGGGATTTGAGCATCCATGGATTTTGGTATCCACCAGGGTCCTGGAACCAATACCCTGCAGATACTGAGGGCACCTGTATAGAAGGTAAGAAAGTGAGGGGGAAACTAGTATTTCTGGACTATTTTTCAATAAGACATATTACTTCTGAAATCAAAAACGACAACACAAGCAATATTACAACTGAGAAGGCAGTAATACGAGTCCATGACATAAGGAAGCTTACTGTCTAGTTGGAGAGATAATAACACCCAGAACAATAGAGATTAAGGCTGATCACCCTCTGAATTTGGGGTTTCAGATATTTATTCTGTGCCAGGTCCATCCAAAGAGCAAACACCTACCATTTATTGAGTACTTTGTATGCCGGGGACTGTGCAAATTGCTTTACCTATATTATCCCATTTAACAATTTCAGCAACAATCTGAGATAGGTACTCATAATGCCCTTCTCTACATATAAGGTAACCAAAGAAAAGAGAGATTGTCATTTTCTGGAGATCACATTCAAGTAAGTAGCATCATGGGAATTCCCTGGCAGTCCAGTGGTTAGGACTCTGCACTGTCACTGCTGAGGGCCCAGGTTCAATCCCTGGTCAGGGAACTAAAGCCATGCGACAAAAAAAGTAAGTGGCATCATTGGGACATAAAACCAGGGTCTTCTGGCCCTAAAGTTCATGCTTTTAGCCACTATTCCTTAAATTGCATCCACACTGAGTGTTGTGCGCAGAGCTTCTGCACACGATCTCAGAGCTGAGGGGTCAGGCCCGGCTCTTTCATGCTAGGAGCTGTGGTGTGAAGGGCCGTTGATGCAAGGCCTCTGCATGCGGCACCCTGTGAGCAAGTGAAACTAGACCAAGCGCGCAAGAAGAGGTTAAGACCTTATCACCTGGATTCCATCTTATTTTTCCTGGGGACCTCAGTGGACTTTTTGCCTGTGACTAATAAGAGGTCCAGTCACAGGCCAAATGGACTTCACTCCAATGCCATGCCAATCGTGGGCAGCAAGAATTGGAGCCACGGCTGCAGGAATTCACCAAGCCTTCTCCAGGCTGGCCAAGCAGGGCAGTTCTTGCCACCCTGGAGTGTGAAATTGCAGAGCCAACAATAAACTGACAAGGTCCAGCGCAGTCGGAGTTGAGCCGATGCAATAATGAAATAAACCCGTTTTGAAAGTGTGTTGTCCAGATGCCACTACAGCTGAGTCTGTTCACGAATAGCAAACTCTTGACCATTTCTTGCATGTTCATACCCCCGCATGAGAAGTGGACATCCATAATCT